TGTTGTAAAATGGGTGCGCTGTCGTATGTTTAAAATACAGAGCGCCTCATCGCGGATAAGATTCTAAAGTCGACCACGAGTGCCAGTGCTGTCGCATCCCCACACCAAGCAATGGGCGTTAAAATCGCCGACTACCAGGACCGGAGGTGGAAGCTCATCGACAAGACAAGTCACTGGGAGCGCTATACCTGGTGGCAGGTATAAAGAGCACACAGTCATTTCCCGGTGGTTGAAATCAACTCTGGCGCCACCGCCTGCAGGGGAGTCTGCAGCGGCACCTGGCGCGCAGGTATGCTATGGTGAACCGCCAAAAGCACACCTCCATGGGCAATGGTCGGGGTGTCTAGGTCTCTTCTAAAAACAGAGCAGCCCTTGATGGCAAAGGTGACATTTGGCGCTAGCTTGGTCTACTGGAGACCTAAAGCAAGGGGTGTGCGCCAACGGATAAGAGACTGTAGGTCCTGGTAGTAGGCCCGGAGGCCTCTACAGTTCCACTGTAGAATAAAAGGCGTGATTCAAAAGGCGCGGGCGCGTTCCACTGTAAAAAAGGGCGCGTATAACATCAGGCAAAGGCGCACGCAGATACCTGACTGACCACAAAAAGGTAAAAAAAAAAAACACCGAGAGAAACGCGCCTGGTAAAAAAACGCAATAGCGCGAAAAAGATAAAAGGATAAAAGAGGAAATGACTAGAGTAAATGACTATACTAAGTCCTCTTTTTCCGAAGAGGCGCTCTCCCCGTAGCGGATACGGGGGCGCCCCGAGCCCTCTCGGTGAAGCCTGCCTTCTGCGGAGGCAGATCGGGCGTGACTCAAGCCCTGCTGGGGCTTTTTCGCCCGAGGAGCGTCACCCTCCGAAGACGATCAGCTCGGGGGCGTCTGCCGTTTGGCAAGGCGCCCCGGAGCCGCAGGAGGCTGAGGCTGCCCTGACGGAGATGTCGGGGCGGCGGCCTGTGTCCTTGACACAGGTGTGTCTGGGAGCGACGGCGGAGGCCGCCGCTGCTGCGAGAGCGAGGGAGGGGGCGGGGGACCCATGATGGGCCGAGTCCCCGCCTGAGGTGTCTCCGGGGTGTCAGCAGCGACAGCCGCATTGGCACTCCCGGAGGCGGAGGCGGCACCAGAGGATTCCTTAGCCTCCATGGCCTTTTGAACGAAGCGAGCCCTCCTCGCCTCTCGTGCCCTCCTCTCCCCGCCGCAGAGCCTCCTGCACCGCCGTGGACGTCGGGGGCAGGGCGGGGTGGATGGCGCCTTGCGTCGGGGGTCGCCGACCACCCTGTCGGCGCTGGACGACGGTCCAATCGTCTCCTTCACCGCTCGCGGCTGGAGCGGGACTGGGTGGACCCCACACTGACTCTTGAGCAGTCTGCTCTGTGTCACTCGGCGGCGCACCAGGCGCCGAAGAGTCCGCGGAGTCACCAATGGCTACGACAGTGAGGCCGAATCTTTTGAGAAGCTGCACGAGCTGTGCCACGCTCATCTGGGAGGCATCGATAGCGTTTGTCACTTTCACCTTCTTGGCATAAGAGGTCTTCGGGTGATTTTGGTTATATACCTCCAGGGCCTCTTTGAATGACAGATTCCTGGTAGCCTTGATGGTGTTAATCTCCTTCTCCTTGACGTATGTAGGGCAGGACCTGTCATACGCGGAGTTCGGTGTCTGCCCCTCTCCGCAGTTGACGCATCGAGGGGTCTCTGAGTTGCACGTATCGTCAGTGTGGTCCTGAGAAGCGCACTTGGAGCATGTGGGTCTACCCCGGCAGTTGTCCTTCGTGTGGCCGAACCTCTGGCACCGATAGCAGCGTATGGGCGCCGGGACGTATGGGCACACGCGGACCTTGATGTACCCCACACGGACCTCGTTCGGCATGTCGATGGTGTCAAATGTGAGAATGATGTTATTTGTCGAGACCGTGCCTCTTCGCGTGAATATGCGGCGGGCGGCTGTCACGCCGTACTCTGAGAGCCCGTCCGCTATGTCCTCGTCACTCACGTTCCGCAGGTCATAGCAGTTGATGACTCCTCGAGAGGTGTTCTTGGAGCGGTGTGGCTCCACCGTCAACGGCAATGAGACGAGCTTCCGAACGGAGCCACGTCCTTCGGAGTACACAAATCGAGTGGCGGCTAGGGCCTTCGTCGCCTCTTCGCTCTTCCGGAACTTTACTTCAAGCGCTCCGTCCCGCATGCGGTCGCAGCGGACGATACTGCCGAACCGGTCACAGCCGTCTTTCCGCTGAAAGGGCGACAAGGAGCTCAGCTGCCTGTCTGCGCTCCGGAAGATGAGGATCCTGGGATTTTTTGGTCTTGGGTCGTGCAGGGTTCGCCCGTCGGCCGAGACCGGCGAACGAGAATCGGCCGAAGCCGAGGGATTGGTAAGAGTTGGGGAAGGGGGGTTGGTCGGGTTATCCATGTGATTGTGCTTGGTCTCCGCCAGCTCGGCCGCCGACGCTCCGCAACGGCGCCGCTACAAGGCCTAGGACGGCCGAGCTGACTGCACGGGACTTGGCGGCACCTTCCGAAGGGGAGAGAGAGACTCACCACCCCCAACGGTCGGATACCGCCTCCTCCCTTGACGCCTAGCCGAGTCACCGCCAGGGGCAGCGACAGATCAGTCCCACCGACGGAGGACGAGCACAAGTGCCCGAACCCCGCCGGCGACACCTCTCCGACACCACCCCCGGCGGCATCACGACTGGGAATGGCTCCTCAAGCGCGGCGCCCCCCTGAGTGTCCCGCCCTTACAGAACTCAGGGTCAAAGAGGCGTGTTGCCCAGCCACCGCGACGGGCTCCGCACGGCGGGGGGCTCAACCTCCAGGATCCCGTTGTCCTGGGGTACGGGTCGGCTCGCCTAGCCTAGTAAAACCGGCTGGTACCAGAGGGGACGCCACTCCCCTTACACTAGCCCAACTCTGCTGTGTTCCTGCGGGTGCAACAGCAACGAAAAGGGGTGAAAAGGAATGAGAAAATCAGCGATCGAACAAAACACACCTATCCGGTAAGGAAACAAAGCAAGAGCAAACAAAGACCGCGCAGCAGAAACAAACACGGACACCAAGAAAATTCGGGCCGTACCATCTATCCATCCAGTGATCAAAGCAAGTCGTAGGCAAGCATGGGTCAAGCTGGGGCCGAGGGGGCGCTACTCCCCTTGCTGGCCGAGGCCAGGGCCGCCGCGGGGCAAGGGCCCAAGGATCCCAGTCCAACAGCGATCCAGGCCACCGCAACCCCCTGCGGGGCCAATCCTGCAGACAATCCATCCAGTAAGCAAGGCAAGTCCAGGTCAAAACGCGCGTTAAGCTGGGGCCGAGGGGGCGCTACTTCCCTTACTGGCCGAAGTCACAGCCGCCGCACAGCCGAAGCAAGATGACCCCGGCTAAGCAGCAGCTTCGACCACGGTCAACCCCCTGCGGGGAAAAATATCAATTTTGAAATTTGACCTTTTTTGACCTGACCTCCACCAGGAAGTGACCTAAACCGTTCCTGATGGTCTTATAACCAACACCTGAGTTGGAAATGAAAAATTGGCCATAAAACATGCATCACACGGCCCTAGTAAAATTGGGTTCATGTGCTGACCCTTGGTGACCTGACCTGTTGCTATCAGTGACATCTAATATTAACATATCTACTAGGCAACTGACGCCCTATCGCTCAGTTTCGATAAAATGCGTTTTACTCGATGTTATAGCGCATTCCCTAGAAGACGCGTGACCGGCAAGACATTTTATCTTTGACCTGACCTGTGACGTCATCGGTGACCCCGAGGTCAATGAAATTGTAATTCCCATTGTAAATTTGATAGGGCTTTCGAACGCCGTTTGAATTTTGCGAATCCGTCCAGTAGTTTCGGAGATACGAGGGAGGGGGAGGGGGCAAAAAATAGCCCCCCCCCTACCAGATCGCGTTATAAACGGACCCCACCAGAGCGCCGGTTAAAAAGCCGGTTCTGGGAATTTCACAGGCTTGCGTCTTTCGCTGAAAACGTTCGTCCAAAACAGCAACATTATCTTTTTTCGACAAAATCTAAATTCGAGCGCAGCATCGTCAATCAAACAGGTGCAGTGCATGACGTTGAGCCATGCAGCGTTAACTCCGACTTCGGAGTCGGAGTCGGTAAGATTTTGGCGACTCCGACACCGACTCCGACTCCGGGCAGAACTTTCGACTCAGACCGACTCCAGCTCCGACTCCTACTCCGACTCCGCAGCCCTGAGTTTTACTACATCAATTTACAATTTAACGGTATACATTGAGACGGACGCATTCGGGTGAACGCGTTTCGTCAAGAGACTTCTTCAACACCCCTTCAGATATGGAAGCAATACAAGCAATACAACACCCCTTCTTTTTCTGAAGAGGTGTTGAATCAGTCTCTTGACGAAACGCGTCCACCCGAATGTGTTGTGTCCGTCATTTGTCTCTTATTACAACTCAACATTGCCACTCGCAATGTGAAATGTCACGAAATGAATCTGCTATTTGGGTAAAGGCTACGCGCTTATGGGGCGGAGCCACTTAATGACGTCAGCGCTATGCTCCGCCCTACCCCTCCGGCGCTCCTTGCCCGGCGACCGGTCACTCGCGTCTCGCGCCCCATCCGGGCTTGATGGTGGGCGGTAGCTGGTAGCGGTAGCGGGCGCTGGTAGATGACATTAAAAGCAGATGGCGCTGGTGGCGGGGCTCGAGTATGGCCGAACGCAAGCCTCTGCCCGGGCCTGAATTGACCTTAGCATTATGAGTGAATGAGAAGTATCTTTCATAATCGTATGGCGTCAAAATACGTTAGTAATAATAGTTTCGGCAGGTTCTGAAACACACATTGCCAGAATATCGTCAACGAGAGTTCACGCATTAAAAATTATCGCAAGAAGTGGCGTCTCAAGGGGCTGACGTCCATAGTAGGTAGGTATTTTGCCGATTCTACCGAGCTGTGTATTTTGGTGCAAGACGCCTCAGGTTTCTTCCCCGATCACAATGAATCGATTTCGGCCGGCCAACTGACCTGCGATACGATGAGGCCTGCGGTGTCCGCAGCAGGACGGAAGCAGCCTCAAAACTTGTTTAGGCAGTGCAGCAGTGTGTCACGCAGTTTGCAACGCAGCGTCTCGTCACCGCCGCAGATGATGTGGGTGGAGCTGGCGTCAATCTGGATCAGAGTGTCCTCCTCCTGCAGATGCACGATCACGCCGTTCGGTCCCTCCTCCACCTGCCGAGCGGCGACAAGACTACTGTGGGCACAGCCCACACGTGCACAGTGGATACAGCCTACGCGCGCGCACTCATAGCTGCATGTGCGCAACAACTATTGTAGGTTGGAAAAGTTACACATTTGTTTTTTTTTTCATTAAAGGGACCGTAGATGGGTATCATCGAAAAATCAATATATGGAGCTGATTATTTTTTTATAGCATTTCTCTTTTTCCTGAATCAGAAAAATATGGTTAGAGGACCGAGCTCGGTGAGAAATATTGCGAACCACATTTCATTTTCATAAGCGAACCACCACTACAAGCATGGCCGCCAGTTTGGAAGCCTGCGAAATTACTACGGAACTGGCGCAGATAAAACATTATTGATGCTATGCTTATGCGGTCGTTCTTCTGATTGAGCTGTCAGCGAGAGGCAGCCTTAGGTACTGCCTAAGAAAATACCACGTGACAATTGGAGGGAGTGACCATTGGACGTGACAATTGGAAATTGGAGAAAATATCACGTGATAATCACGTGACAAACGTCATACACAGGAGGGAGATTGTGATTCAAACTGGAGGAATTCCTTTGTTGAGCTTCTAAAATCCGAAGGGAAAGTGGGAAATGCCTACGATAATTTAATGAATCTAAAGGTGATGATTAAGTGCGAAAAACGTTTTGACTTAAAGGGACTATCCCACCTTCTAAAATGTTGTTGAAACCAGTTAAATTGTGCCCGACTTTATAGATTGGATGACCAGGAACACGGTTCTGGCATTTATTTTTCATTAAACATCTTAGGCTTCCCATATTCCAAACACAAACTTTCAAATATGTGACGTCACAGCCCAAAATTACCTCCTTCCCCAGGCCACATTACTGTCATAAAGCTGATTCTTTTTACTCTGTAGGCACCACAACAAAGTTCAGACCAAGTTTTAAGCGATTTTTCAACGAACAAACCCATTTGAATCAGAATGACTAAACGAGGTGACGTCACACTAACGGTCGCTCCATGTTGAAGATAGGGCCTTGTACAAGGCCCATTTTCAAATGAAGGGAACTAATTTCTTCAACACCAAGAGGCCACGGGGGTTGCAACCTAGATAGATAGTGGTTTCTGAACCTCGCCGCAAACTTGGCTATCTCAACTCAAACCCCATGTTAAAGGTGGGATAGTCCCTTTAACAAAATGTGATGAAATGACCCGGGAAAAATGTATTACTGGCGGTCAATTCAAAAGGGCGCAAACATTTTAACAGTTAAAACAGAGGTGCACGATTCAAAGTGTAGTACACATTTCGTACTTTCAGCGGCGATAGCGGGAGAACAGTGTGGAGCTTCGAGGATCGGTCTTCAGTTCCCGGACCAGAACGGTGGGGCCTATGCAACATCAAATTTCATCAAAATGATGATACTGTCCCTTTAACAATGACGATACAATAGCAATGCAGATAAAATCAGACGTTTCGGGCCTGACTTGCATTCGTCAGTGAAATAAAAATTATAGCTTTTACGCTGATAAAATATACCTAAATAGTAACCGGCCAGCACGGCAATCTTTTTTTTTCACTGACGAAGGCACTTGGCTGTCCGAAAAGTTTGACTTTCTTCGTTTTGTTATTGTACCTATTGTAATTGCATGCAAAAAAAGGTCGGTTGATCTGTACTTTTGGGCTAAATTCCAGCAGTCAATAAAGTCTAGTTCAGGAAGATAATTCAATAATTCAGGAAAAGGAAAGTGTCTGTGCGTGCGTGCAAGTGTGCATGTGTGCGCATGTGCGTGTGCGCCCATGTGCGTGTGCGCCCATGTGCGTGTGCGTGTAGGTGTGTGTGTGTGGTTGCAAGCGTGCGCGAGACTGGGCTGGGTATGAATGATCAAGTGACCAGGGAGCCCCTCAGATGGCCAGGGGGCCCCTCAGGTGACCAGGGCCCCTCAGATGACCAGGGCCTCTCAGATGGCCAGGGGCCCCTCAGGTGACCATGGGGCACTCAGGTAACCAGTGGCCCTCAGTTAGAAAGGGGCGTTGTGGGCTCGTCACCGTGACATAATCCCTCTTCGATATTATTTTTTCTTTCGAGTAAAAGACGTTCTATCTAGTATTGGAATTAACACGCGCACCGACCGGGGCCTGCGCCAACTTAGTACCGACGGGGGGGGGGGGGCGGATGACCGCCCCCCCCTGAGATCTCGAGAACGAAGCAAGATAGCGACAAGTGGTAAACGGCATCGGATACGCACGGACAAGGTCTACAATTTTTACAAAGGCCATTTTCAGGTCAGGTCAAAGATGACGTCACAGGGGTCAAAAAGTCAAAATGGCGGCGCTAGATAGGGAGAGTTTTCTCGAATTACTTTCGAGTTAGTCAAGATAGGAACAAACTAAGGGCATTATCGTGATCCTCTCGTCAATCCGCATCGAATGATATATATGATGACCTCAAAAGGTCAAGGTCAAAGGTTGACCTCAGGTCACGTGACCTCGAGGTCATCATGTATATCATTCGATGCGTCTTGACGAGCTGAACACAATGAGACCATCCGCGCGACTGTATCTTGTTCCTGTACGGAGTTATTGGCAAAAAACCTTTGGTGACCTTTGATGACGTCACATGACCTTACAGCTGCCCAACAGCAAAACAGACCTCAAGGTAGTGAAGGTCGATCGTATATGAAGTCATGTATGGTATATGGGGCCATTCCGACCCGTTTTAGTGGTAAAAAACAGGGAGTTGATTTTCCCCCATTGACTTATAATGGGGAGGTCGAGAAATTGAACTGACCTTAGGTCACTGATATCAAAATTCCGAGATATACAAAATTTAGCTACTAATGACCTTATAACATGCTGCGAGTTTCAAAGGCCTCCGACATCTACTGTAGCTCTGGCACGGTGACAAAGTTGCAAAAAAGTGACTTGAGGTTGGGTCATTCAAAGTGACCTGGTGACCTGACCTTAAAAGTTAGGAGGTTCAAACTTGCACACCATGTGTAAAATTGATTAGAGAATAGTCGTACCAAATTTCGCGGCGCATTCGCGAAAAACCCCAGGGGGGGGGGGCGGATATCCGCCCCCCGTCGGTGCGCGTGTTAAGCACAGGGATCCAGCATTGCTACGTTCACCAGAGTTATCTATGGACCGCAGGGGCCCCCTCGCGCCTTCGGCGCTCAGGGGGGGGGGGCATGGCCCCCGTGCCCCCCCCCCTTGGGTACGTCACTGCGCGTGGTGCACTGAGTCAAGAGCCTTTTTACTGGATTCGCTGGCAAAGTCGCATACAAAGCATGCGTAATCCAGTTTCGATCGCACGATCCACCGATATAAAAGAAGGAGCGTCCTGCAGTCCGCTCCATACGATGTTCGAGCGACACATTTTAAAACGTTCAAGGATTTAAAACATCTCTCTCGAAGCGCTCTAAAATGGTCTGAATATGTCAATCGTCTGTCAAACAGAACTCCCAAGAACTTCGCCGCCGGCTGCGTGGGTATTACACGCCTGTAGAGTTTGATTCCGATGGTTGGATCGTCACAGCGACGACGACAGAAGTGCAATGCTACGGTCTTCGTTGTTGAGAAACGAAGACCATTGTCGTCACTCCACCTTTCCAAACGAGTCACAGCTAGCTGCAGCTGTCAGGACGCGTGGCGGGCGGTCGTGGCAGAAAACCAAATAGCGAAATCGTCCACAAACAGAGATCTGCCGATAGATGGTGCGAGTTTGTCGCCAATGTCATTAATCGCCACAGCGAACAGCGCCACACTGAGCATTCCGCCCTGGGGAACGCCGTTCTCCTGAACAAAACTGCTCGAAAGACGGCTGCCAACACTGACTCTAAACCGACGACCCGATAACCCGATAACCGAAACCGACGACCCATCCGGCCGCGTATGCAGTACTTATGTACTTTGGAAATAATGCTCTGTCGTAAGACTGTATCATAGGCCGCCTCAATATCAAAGAACAGTGCTCCAAGGTGCTTCTTTCCAATAAACAGGTGCGTATCTCGGTGTCGAGGGCTAATATGTGGTCAACAGGGCTGCGATGCTTTCTTAAACCGCACTGGGCGTTTGTAAAAACACCACGATGTTCCAGAAACCAGCTAAGACGCACATTGACCATCTTCTCCATCAGCTTTGAAAGCGATGATGTGAGAGAGATGGACCGATACTGGAGAGGGTCATGTCTCAACTTGCCAGCCTTCAAGATGAAGGTGATTGTGGCTTCTCGCCAGGTCTCAGGGAAGGTGCCATTCTCCCAAAGCGAATTGAAAGTTGCTAGCAGCGCCTCGAGGGCAACTGCGGGGAGATGACAAATCGTGTCGTTGTGGACAGCATCCGGACCCTCTGAGACGCTGCGCAACGAGCTGATAGCAGCCGTAAGCTCAGCCATAGAAAAATGCTCGTTGTACACCAAATTTTCAGCAGTGCTGAAGTCAACAGCGGCTGGTGCAATTCGGGAGGAAGACCCCCTCCGGCAGCGCTGATAGAGTGCACGGCCTATCGTCTCTGCGACGTCTGATGTCCGTGTTGTTCACTCTTGAAACCGGGAGCGGAGCAGAGCTGAACCGGCCATCAATGCGCTTCATGCGTGCCCATATCTGGGTCGTAGGAGTAAAACGGTTTATGGAACTCACGTACGTGCGCCATGAAACAGCCTTTGCCTCTTTTAAAACGCGTCGGGCAAAAGCCCGCGCTTTCTTAAAAGTGATGATGTTCTCACTAGTAATACTCCGGTCAAGCTTTCTACAAACGCACTTCCTGGCACGAATCGCATCTCCGCATTCCTTGGTCCACCACGGGACCGGAGGACGACGAGGCTGACTCGACGTCTTGGGTATGCACCCGTTTGCGGAGTCAATGAGTAAACATATAAAATCCTCTGTAGACACCACATAGGCGTCGGTTCTGGATAAAACCGAGGCCTCTACGGCGGCCTGGAATTCGCCCCAGTCGGCCTTCCGAACATTCCACCTAGGTGGACGGTTGCCTGACACTGGGGACTCCTGGTGCTCCAGCCACAATGGGATGTGGTCGCTCCCGAGTGGGTCGTCATGGAGGGACCAGGTAAAAAGCTGAGCTAGCCGCGGACTGACTAAAGCTCAGGTCCAGAGCCGATGTTTGACCGGAGGGCGTTGTAAAATGGGCGCGCTTTCCTGTATTTAAAATACACAGCGCCTCATCGCGGATAAGATTCTAAAAGTCGACCACGAGTGCCAGTGCTGTCGCATCCCCACACCAAGCAATGGGCGTTAAAATCGTCGACTACCAGGACCGAAGGTGGAAGCTCATCGACAAGTCGATGCAGCTCAACCACCGGGAGCGCTATACCTGGTGGGAGGTATAAAGAACAGACAGCTCCCGGTGGATGAAGTCAATTCTAGCGGCTACCGCCTGCAGAGCAGTCTGCAGCGGAACCTGACGTGCAGGCACACTGTGGTGCACTGACAGAAGTACAGGGTGGGGCAGAAAGATTTGCCTGTTTTTTTTTTCAGTCCATAACTTAAGAAGTTATGAACGGATTTTGATAAAATTTTGCATGCATCCTCCCAACTGACTCATGTATCAATATTAAGATCGTTTTTACATTTTGTAATAGTTGTAGGTGAGCTATGGCGAAGGTGACTAAGTGAGCCCAAATTGCGGCGCTGAAGTAGGCTGGCCACAGCTCCCGAGGCGTTGCCAAACAACTCGGTGTTGCCGTAAAAACTGTTTGCAATGTAATTAAATTACTTAAAAAGACAGTGTTAGTGTCGACGAAGTCCATGCCAAGAAAAACAAGGGATTTCCGCTTCAAAAAGCTGGTTAATATCGTGCACAAGAAGGTGTTTCAAGTCCTTGGCGAAGCATGCACAAACTGCCAAGGGAACTCGTTGTTTAGCCCAGAACCGCCAGGAGAATCGTAAACGACGGCTTAGGCTTCATGTCATGCAGGATGCAACGTCGACACCCAATTTCGGCGGCATCCAGGGAAAAGCGGCTACACATGACCCAAAAGACACCGGAGGAGATCAGGAGCGCCGGTAACAAGGCATTCTGCTGGTCCAATGACAAAATTTTCATGCCTGAGCCCCAGAGACACTGCCAAAGCGTCGACCTTGAATTTCAGGCTGATTCAGAATTATGAACGAAAAAGCATGGCTGGTTCTGTCAACGAGCTTTCGGGACACCCTGTAGAACATAAATAAAAAACGCCCAATTTTGATACGTAACAAAATAATGCGTCAGTCTGCCGACGAATTTGGTAAGACTTCGGCTTTTGCTCGTTGCACCCAGCAACGTGCTCATTACTAGCTGTTTGTAGCTATTAGAGATAAAACACCATAATATGTTTTTATTCTGAGGTAAGAATCATTCAGTTTAGGAACTTGTAATTTTGCCACATAAAATGTCATCATCATGCCAGCACTATCAGAAGTTGATGCAGGTCGAATTGTTGAGAAACGGGGATGTTTAAAAAAAGTAACACTTTATCAATCACCCTGTACCAATTTCCTCCACATTAGTCGCCAATGGAGTAGAATTTAAAAGCAACTACTGTAATAAACCAAAATGTAGGAAAGACTGGAGCCGCGCCGTAAGGCGGTGGGCTGAGAAGACGGAGGGAGGGTGGCGGTCGGTAGGCCGCAGCCGGCGCACCTTTGCGTCGTTGATGTCGTGCTGCGTAAGCCGCTGCAGTAGTTCGGGCACGTGCACAGCGCCGTAAGTGTGGTAACGGGGCCGCGCCTCCGTCAGCTCCTGCAGGCTGGCGGCTTCCGACGCCGGTGTGGGCGCCACATCCAGCCGGTGCCTGTTGTCCTGCACGTGCAGCAGCCCTGTGACAGTGGCGGCTGCCACACCGGGGCCCACTGGCACTGGGCTGAGTCGCTCACTGAGCTCGGCCGACAGCTGCAGCCTCTGATGGGCGCGCCGCACGGGCAGCGTGAGCACGTCGCCGCGCCGGTAGGTCAGCACCGGACAGTCGGCCTCCAGCTGGCATTCGGAGCGCTGCACCGGCGACGCGTACTGAGCCGGCGTGAGCAGCGCCTGCGGCTTCAGGTCGCGAATCAGCTTGTTGGCCTGGCTGAAGTACAGGGACGTGTCAATAGGCGTGAAATAGTAGTTCATTGCTAGCGGCTGGTACGGAGCCAGACACTCTAGATAGGGGAAGTCGGGCGAGGTGAAGATGACGGCGTTGGCCGCGTTGCCACCCCACAGCTCCATGAAGTGCACTGTGTCACCGAAGCGCAAACTCGGGTGGCCAGCGAAGACGACGCACGGTTGCCGGAACTCGGCACTGAAGCCGTCCGCCTGCAGGTTTTTGTAGGGCCGCAGCCGGCCGCCAGCCACCAGCTGGCCGTGAGGGAACGGCTCCTCGGGCAGGTAGACGCGCACCTGTTTGTTGTGCGACAACCATTCGGCCAGGATGTTGGAGTAGGCAAGCGAGTGCTCCGCAACCGGCGAGACAAAGAACAGCGGCACCTGGCTAAGGCTCTGCTGGTCCAGGTACGGGGCCAGGCACTCGATCAGGTCGTACACGATGCCAGACGGGCAGCAAGGCACAAGCACGTTGCCGCCACCCTTCAGCGTGTGCGCCACCTTTGCGCAGAACGCGCCGATCATGTCGTCCGGGTTGTAGCTGGGCACCTGGGTCAAACCGTTGAGGATGAGCACGCGGGCGCCGCGCAACTGGGCCTGCTCCAGCTGCTTCGGGTGTGTGGTCAGCGTGGACGATCCGTTCACGTACACGATCTTCTCATATTCAGAGGAGATGGTCCAGTTGGCTGAGCCCAGACAATAGCCCGAGCTGGATGGCATTACGCGCAGCGCCCCGAACACATCCATCTTCTCGCCGTAGCCGACCGTGTGCACGCGTCGCACGGCGTCGGCGATGGCGTCGGCGCTGTAGAGCTGCCGCCACAGCTTCGGCTTATAAGCGTGGCATAGCGGCGCTGGCAGCAGGTGCAGCAGCCGCTTCCAGTGCTGGGCGTGCTGGGCGCGCGGCGTCTGCTCCATGTGGTAGAGCAGCTCGTCCATGCAGAGCCGGCCAATGTGCAGCGTCGGCTCTGTGGCGTACACAGTGCCACGGAAGCCGCGCTCGGCCACAATGAACGGCAGCGCCAGCATGCTGGTGTAGTTGGACACCAGAATGGCGTCCACCTCGGAGAAGTCTATCAGACTCGTCTGCGGCGGGCAGAACTCGGGAGGCGAGTCGATGAACACCTTACCGGCGCACTCGCGCAGCTCGCCCTCCACCTGCGGCTGCTCCTTGGGCGTCCAAGTGGGCAGGCTGGCCAGCCGACGGCTCGGTACCAGTGGCAGAGGCAGGAAGTTGAGCATTGTCGTCTCATCCAGGCCACAGTCCAGCATGATGGTGCACTGCTTGAAGCGTAGCACGCTGCACGGCTTATTCGGATGTCCACTTAGTGCGTAAAACTTCATTTTCTTGCAGATGTCACCAGTAAGGTATTCTTACGCAAGCTTAGGTAAAGTAGTGCACTGCAACGAAACATTCTTAAAGGAAATAGTTCACTTTCACGAAATTACTTTTTTGTAATGGATTTATGATTTTTTATGCTCAAAATGATCAGCAAATAAAATAAAACCTTTTTATAAAAGATTATTTTCTATACTTTAATATAGGAAGAACTTTTCAGTTTAACCCTATTCCTGGCGGGCTCCGCCGGGACAAGAAACTGGCGGGGGGGGCCGATTCGGCCCCCCTCCTGAGATCTCGAGAACGAAGCAAGATAGCGACAAGCGGTAAACGGCATCGGATACGCACGGCCAAGATCTACAATTTTTACTAAGGTCATTTTCAGGTCAGGTCAAAGCTGACGTCACAGGGGTCGAAAAAGTCAAAATGGCGGCGCTAGATATGGAGAGAGTTTTTCTCGAATAACTTTCGAATTAGTCAAGATAGGAACAAACTAAGGGCATCATCGTGATCCTCTCGTCAATCCGCATCGAATGATATATATGTTGACCTCGAAAGGTCAAGGTCAAAGGTTGACCTCAGGTCACGTGACCTCGAGGTCATCATGTATATCATTCGATGCGTCTTGACGAGCTGAACACAATGAGACCATCCACGCGTCTGTATCTTGTTCCTGTACGGAGTTATTGGCCAAAAACCTTTGGTGACCTTTGATGACGTCACATGACCTCACAGCTGCCCAACAGCAAAACAGACCTCAAGGTAGTGAAGGTTGATCGTATATGAAGTCATGTATGGTATATGGGGCCATTCCGACCCGTTTTAGTGGTAAAAACAGGGAGTTGATTTTTCCCCCATTGACTTATAATGGGGAGGTCGCGAAATTGACCTGACCTTAGGTCACCGATATCAAAATTCCGAGATATACAAATTGCACATACTGGTACCCTAACTAAACCCTGAAGAGAAGAAATTGATCGGTCAAAAACTCTAGCTCTGGCGTGATTGCAAACTTTTCTGAGGTAGGGTCACCAAACCGCCTCTGGTGACCTGACCTGAGGTCAGATCAACTCAAAATTTTCAGACATGTTGCGTAGAAGCCTTTTAGGAAAAGTCAGAAAATTTGAGCTTCCTAGCTCAACGCGTTTGGGAGAAATAACCAAAAAACCTCAGGGGGGGCTCCTGAGGCCCCCCCCCCCCGCCAGGAATAGGGTTAAAGAAGGAAATAACCCCTGTAAGGAACATGCGATCCAGTATGAAAAGAGAGGTCCCGAAAATTCTTCAGAAACTCGTCGGCAGGAAAAATATAAAAAGTTAACCTAATTATAAGACATTTTGGACTGATTTTGTCTACTTGCTTTTTATGATGGAATCGTCTAAACATCTATATTTCACTTTCCATGCAAAATGGATGTTCAACACCTAGCAATTTCATCGTTCCGCAAAATATTCAAAGAGCGTAAAAAATAGGCTATGATTATTCCTCATCTGAAGTGCTACGGAACGCTGTCTTTAAAGATACCTTTGTCTAGGAAAAATGTTTTCTGAGCCATGCAAATGCCCTAATCGTAATCTTTGATGAATTTACTGTCGACTTACATATGTGCGCTGTTTTCTAATTTTCGGAAAAAGGTGTCTTTGAGGTTTGGCGAGGCCAGACCGGCCCGATCGCCTACCGTGCAGCGGCCAGACGGGCCCGATCGCCTATCGTGCAGCGGCCAGACGGGCCCGATCGCCTACCGTGCAGCGGCCAGACGGGCCCGATCGCCTACCGTGCAGCTGGGGCGAAGGTTAAGAGCAGATGGCGCCGGTGGCGGGGCTCGCCTCTACCCGGGCCTGAATTGACCTTAGTAGTACGAGTGAATGAGAAGTGCCTTTCATAATCGTTTGGCGTCAATACCTACCTTAGTAATAAAAGTTTCGGCAGGTTCTGAAACACACATTGCCAGAATATCGTCAACAAAACTTCAATAATTTAACCCGCGCCCCACTGGGGTCTGCGTATAACACACCCTACTGGGGGGGGGCTATTCATAGCCCCCCCCCCCTTCCTAACTCCGAAACTACTGGGCCGATCGTCAAAATTCAAGCGGCGTCTGATAGCCCCGGCAAAACTGTCAAGCGAAACCTAATTTAATTGACCTCGAGGTCACCGATGACGTCACAGGTCAGGTCAAAGTAAAAATTATTAGCATTTTGGCTTGTTCACGTTTTGGGCTCTGGCCGCCGTCTTACAAGTCAGATCAGGCTCATTTTTGGTTCACACACTCGTGAACAGATACTCTAGATACCCTGAGGGTACCAAACTTGTACTTTGATTTTCAGGTCAAGGTCAGGTCATCACAGGTCACAAAAATATTATATCATGCGTCGGTCACGTGACACATGTTTTATGGTCCATTTAGGCCAAAAATTTCGAATTTGATGTCGTCTGTGTCATTCGAGGTCATTTTGAGTCAAATTTAGCTTAGGTCAGGTCACTTTCAGGTCAAAAAAGGTCAAATTTTGAAGTTAAAATTTTTCAACAAAAAAGGTGTCTATTGGATGCAGTTTGAGCTCAGGAACACGATGGTGCTATTTATATTGGCGTACGATGTCAAATACGTGCTGAAAAATTGATTTGAAAAATTAATAATTGTGAATTTTTTGCAATAATGCGTATAACTTGGTAATTTTTGAAGATATTTAGCTTAAACTTGCTAGAGTAAGTCATAATAATGCGTTCTATCACATATATTCCGTTTTTTTTTCGAAAATATAAAAACTTTTTGGAAAAAATGTAAAAATATAAATTTTGAATTTCATTATATTAAATTTTCGAAATTTTCAAAATTTCGAAAATTCGAGATAGCAGTTTGATAGCGCAGTCTATTCTGAGTCCTCTCATGCACAGAAATTGGATCTAGCTTAAAAACTGAGCTCTTGGGAGCGATTGCCGTGGTTTTTGCGTCGAAATCGGCCGAACATGACGTTACTCTGACGTCATTTCCGGCCTGCCGCTACTGCCGCTACGGCCAGATACCGTACCTGTGCCGCTCGGCGCCTCCGGCGGTGACCGGTCGGCGGGCCGGGGCGGGGAGGACGGGCAGTCGCTCCCTGGACGTGTTGCTGACCACTAATACAGCACCAAACGCAGTGCCGTCTTCGCTGAGTGCGTGTGGGCGGTGCGACGACATAACAGGCAGCTATGTATAAGCTTGTTTTGACGCGCGGTATGGGCAGCTATAGCCTATAACCAGTCGCGGCGCAAGTGCGTTTGAGCCAGGTGATTCGCAACCGCCATCCAATCAGCATACTGCAATCCAGTGCCGGCAGTGACGTACATGACACGTGATCACTGATCAGACAGCTGGGCCGAAAGCGCGCCAATTTTCAAAGGGTTTGAGCGTGCCAGTTGAGTTTGAGCGTGCAGTGGAGAAGGACGGTTGTGCTCAGCGCGGGTGATAGCGGGTGTGTAGTGTGTGCATTGATCATTCGAGCAAAGGACGTCGTGGAGGACATCGAAAGCACAGCTGTGGAACCCAGAAAAGACGAAACCTGCACGACAACGACTTTTCGGCGCGCCGGAAACCGGAAAATTCACCCAAGAGACCCTTGGTGGGCGTGTTTGCCTGCACCCGGTGTAGATCTGCATGACTATTTACGGTCACCGCCCTGACCTGAGCAGTGCGCAGTATCTGGTCCTATTATCCCTTTTACAGGGTCCGGCATATAAGTTTTGTCTTGTAAAACTGTGTCGTGTAAGCTGCTAGGTGAAAGTCAGCAATTGTTACAGGATATGCAATGCTCTAATGACATATCTTTGGTAATGAACAATTATTTAACATGCACGCCATTTTTGCGTAGCTGAAACCACCGTTGATTTTCGTGTTTTATAACCGAAATAGATATTAAATATCCATTCAAGATTATCTCAGATTTACTTATCCCAAGTTGCGTCTTATCGGAAGAGAAACGGTGAAGCTATGTCCATGCTGTTGTCACCAATGTAAAACATGAATAATAATAAAAGACCAAATGTCTGTGAGTTTTGGATGTGTTACGATATATAAAGAGAAATCGGACGAGGAAGCTGAGCGTAATGAGACAGTTTCTGAGCAAGTTCTACGATAAATATACCTAGGGCATTATTATTTCCCCTTCTGGGTTTATGTGGGATCTAATGCAAGAATACATTGAGATCAGTGATGGAAATCACAGAATAATACGGGAGTGTTAAGTGGTATAATGCGAGTATAGTTTGCAAAATACTCCCCTTATACGCTTAGAAGGAATACTAGAGGTTTCGATGTAAGGGTATTTTGGTAGGTTAAAAGGAGTGTACTGTGGGTATGGCAGGGAATAGAACAGGAATCATATTCCTTTGCTCTTCGGTACTTACTAGGGTATATTAGAAGAATTCAAGGGAGCTATTTAAAGAACAAGGGTATAGTTTGGGCATATTCGGAGAAATGATCAGGGTGTTGTTTTAGACCAAAACCCCTAATATGCTTAAAAGGAATCAAAAAGGTTTTCAGTGTAGGGTATATTAGAAGAATTTCAGGGCGATATTCAAAGAAAGTGTATTTGGGGTATATTCGGAGAAAATCTAAAGGGTCTGTTCTCTGAGAAACTGAACTCTGAGATACTCTTATCCCGATTCCCCTTACGCGTGCCTATCCGACCGACGCGCACTGCAGCACTGTTTGCTGAGAGTCGCGCCCGAATCAGCACGGTCCAGAACGGGTTGGTCTGTCGTGTCGCGAGAGAGACAAACTCAGGGGCGCGGGAACTACTTTCCGACTTGGGGGGGGGGGCACACCATAATAGAGATTAACCTAGGGTACCCCCAAATCTAGTTTTCACACCGGTTTTAGGCCACTTATTTTTAACCCCTCGGCTTTTTCAACAAAAAAAGAAAACATTTGCAAAAAAAGTGTGGTATTCCGTCTCAAAGCTGTGGGGGCACCGCCCCCACGGCCCCAGAGTTCGGGGGGGCAAGCTGCCCCCACTGCCCCCCGGCTCCCGCGCCTATGGACAAACTCATTCCTCGCTCATTCCAAAGCCGACTTTTTCACGACCA